GGACACTAGGCAATCATCAACATAAAAGTTATGCTTCACTGCTTCCACCACATAGCTATCATAATCGTTGGCATACGTCTCGGCAGTCTTGGCCATTGCAAAATACGCACAAAACGGTGAGGACACTGCACCGAATGGGTGTGACGTCATTTGATATTCAATAGGTTCCTTCGAGAAATCACCCTGAGGCCACCATAGGAACCGCAGAGCACCTCGGTCAAACTCTGGGACTTTCACCTGCATAAACATTTCTTCCACATCGGACGTCAGGGCAATCGGTTCTTTGCGAAAACGCAATAATATTCCAACCAAGTTCGCTGTCGTGTCTGGTCCCTGATACAGGAAGTCATTTAAAGAAGTTCCGGACAGTTTGGCAGCGCAGTCCAGCACAACTCTTACCTTCCCCGGTTTCTTGGGGTTAAATACGGCATGATGCGGCAAATACCATCGTGGGCGGTAGCTAGGATCAAGCTGGGGCTCAGGAGCTACTGCTGCATATCCCTTTCTGATGGTCTCTTCCATGGCGCTAGTGTAGCTTTCGCGAAGGCTTTCAGAGGATATTAGTCTGGGTTTCAAACTCTCCAAACGTCGCCTGGCTACTTCGCATCCACCGTATACTCTCTTGGACTCCATTTTCCAGGGCAAGGGGACAACGAAATGTCCATTATCCCAATAAGTACCTCGCTGCACTATGTTTACAGCGGCTAGGTCATCGACAGATAACGACTTATCTCCCGAGTACAAATCGCTGAACTCATAATCGTAAATTTTCTTCCATTGATCGACTAATAGATCTGACCGAGACATACAATTCACAACCCTCTCCCTGTGCTCACGAAAGCTTGTCGGACCGAACACGACCCAGCCCAACAATGATCTCACAGCATATGGGCTCTTTCTGCCCCCTAACTTCTGATCTAGAACCCAGTGAGCCTCAGGTACATCGCAACCGATGAGCAGCAATACCTCCCCGTCTTCCACCTCTGTCCAGGGTACGTCAGTCAGATGCGGCCACCTTTTAATACTTTCTCGCATCGACCCTTTAGGTCTCCGTACTGGGAGATCTCTTGCCACAACTGCTCGATCTATAAGTATGCATTCGTTTCCGTCTAGTGAATAAACTTCGAAAGGCTTGCTGACTGAGTCCGCCAATCTACTTCCACTAACAGTTTTGATGATAGTCTTTGTGCCGTCAGTCGACAATCCTAGAAGTTGCAAAACATCTTTCGTGATCAAAGTTGTATCAGAGCCATTGTCCAAGATAGCATAACCGTAAACCTCTTTATTACCGTGCTTTACACGTACCGGGAGTAGGCCCAAACACACGCTTTCTCTGAGAGACTCAGTGCATCCACAACTACCTTTCTCCGGTTGTTCGCCTACGGCGTGGTGGGTCTTCTTGTGTAACAGAGGGTGATGGTATGCTTTACAACCTTCTACACTGCACACCCTGTGAATTTTACATTCTACGGACCTGTGGCCCCTTTTAAGACATGAAAAACAACAACCTGTTTCTTTAGCCTTCGACCATCTCTCATCCACCGGTAACGACAGAAATGTGGTACATTTTGTGACTACATGGTTCCCTCCACAAAATATACATGAAGGTTTCAGGACTCCCCCAACGGGTACTAGCTGCTGCGTGGAACATGCTATTTTACTATCTGGTCGTCGACTGCTTGTTGCCAGCTGTCCAAACCTACTTAGCAAAATGCTCGCACGTGCTGACACAAACTGCGTTAACTCTGCGAAGGTAGGTTCTCGTTCGGTTTCAGTTAGCTTTTCGACAGTCTCCGCCCATTTCATCTGTAACACACGGGGCAATTTCTTTACTATACCTTCTAAAGTTCTCAAGGAGTTAAGGTCCGCAGTATAGTCCATTTGCTCTAGGGCTATAGCGCAGTTTTCCATTTTTATAGCTAACCTCGACATTGCCTCAGCATCGTTTTGTTCTATGTTCGAGCATTCCATCAGATCCTGTAGTAAGGCCCGGCTGACTTCATGAGTCCTTCCAAACAAACGTTTGAGTATATCCCGAGCCCTACGATAACCAGCAGATGGTGGTAACATAATGCATTCCTCTATAGCCTCCCTGGCCTTACCTTTACAGTAATGTAACAAGTATAACAGCCTCTGTCCATCATCATCAACCTTAGAGACAACGTAGAGCTCAAACTGCCTCATAAACTTCCAATATTTGGCTGGATGTCCGTCAAAGCTGCTTAATTCTACTTTCGGTAACTCATGGCCAACACTGACACAAGGCAACGTAGCGGCAACCCCTTTGTTTTCTGCGCTGCTCGCCTGGCTAGTCGTTTCACGATCAGAACTGCTATGAGGGTCAATGCCAAGACAAACTGATTTGTGACACTTTATATCATCATCCAAGGAAAAGGTATCACCTAAACCCCCATTCACATCTAAGTTGAGTTCTTTATGCAGACGCAACCTTTCCTGTCTTTGTTTAGCCTTGAATTCACGAAGTTCCAACTCTTGCCTTTCATCCAACTGTCGTACCTTCAACTGAGCAGAGGTCCTACAAGGACTAGTCTTACTATAGTCAATAACTGTACCATTATCAGAGCCACGGCATGAAATAACATCAAGAGGGACTTGCTTGGTATCTGAGGTTGGATCCATGGACATGTCACCTTCCCCGTCCGGAATTGACTCAAGGAACACCTTGCGATTGCCAGGTACAGCAGTGACGGGTTGTTGAGTACTGTAGCGGCCAGAATCCAATAATCTTGGCCTGAACGCGGGAAATAGCTAGGCGGTGCCAACTGACGTGAATCTGACTAGTTCCTGCGTTCTACTGTATAGCTTCCTAACTTCCGCGAGTGACGCACAGTCAAAGGTTGGATCGAAATATCAAAACACGGTTTGTAGTAATTCAATAGTAGATTCGTAACAAAATCTGTGGTACTATCAAAGCAACAATAAGTTATGTCAAATTACAAAAATACCTCAACAGTGCCGTTGGGTAACTATACAGTCCAAAACGTTCTCGGGTACAAATACGTACTACACGGTAAAAACTGGTTAAAAAATACAACTGTTAAATACCTGTCGGTCAATAGGAATATTCCCGGCAAAAGGGATCAAAACTCTGCCTACAGGAATCAAATCAACAAACAAACGTTCCCAGTAGACAGTCAAAAGACAAACAGTCAAATCACTGCACAACCGTAAGTTGAACCAAAACAAAATGTCGTGCGCAGTAAAACAACATCACCTTATCAACAGTCCAGCGTCACATAATAGGAAAGTGAAACACTCATAATAAGTCTCAAACATACAAAGGCAAATACCGAGTGTAAAGTCAAATAAGACAGTTAAACAAGCAAATAACATTACACCGGCGAGGGTCAAAGGTACACCATCCATAACGAGGGTAAAAATGTTAAAATAAATGTCAATACAATCAAATAAGGGTGATCGGGAGGGATTTTCAGATCATTTTTCTTTTACAGTTTCTCTAAGCTTTGGGCTCTCTTCCGCATGTCTATCTGGAGGGTTGGGTGACTTCACTGGTTGATTTTGCTGTTCGATAGTGCGAACGTATGTGCCAAAGCCATTTGTAGGGTTGCTTCTGCACGAATTCATGGTATAGCCAGAAGATACTTCTTTCTTCGCAGCAAAATACTCATTCCTTACACTTAGTTCAGGCGAGTGCATTTCTCTATTTACACTCGCTGCATTTCTAACTCCACAGTTATCGGTGCTTCGCGAATCGTATAGGGTTTACTCGTTGAAGATTTGTGTACTGTGGCAAACAGTAGTCCTCTGATTACTGATTTGATAGGCCAAATCCAGTACATTATGTTTCTTAACGTGCTGCAATGAACATCCGTGTGTATATTTCCCCTCGTGAATAACTGCCACCCACTGTGACAAGAAGCCACAGAAGTGATGAGAAGCAGTAATGCGGAACTTTAAAATATAAGATAGTGAATTCCTGAAAGTAGCCGGCACATGTGTGCACTTAAACGGAGTGAGGTGTCTTGGGGAACTACGCTGGAGGGGAAAGCAGAACAAAAGTAGGTGGGAGTTAAGAATAGCAAGGAGTCACCTCTTGGAAGTGGTAGAAAATTAGGAAAATAATGTTCGAATTTGAAGTGAACTGGAAGTTGACGATACCCTGTTGAATAACTTTAACTAGGAGTTCATCATCCCAGTGATAAGCTTGATTCCCTTTATGCGTTTCTACTCCCTCTTGTTTCCTGACCATGCCCATTCTGTTTCCACTGTTTTCCTTCATCACTCTTCTCTAAATAAAGTTTTCCTTCCCCTTCGGTTTCCTCTTTTGTTGGTTCATTCCTCGTTCGCCGCTAACTTTTATCACTACTACATGGAGCCTCCCATCCTATTCGAAAGATTTCGCGAGCGTTTGGCGACAGGTAATTATAGGATCCCATCAGAGCCACAGTTCCAGGATAAGCTATACAAAACGCAACAAATTCCCCCAACAAAGGACCATCCACCAGGTTTACTGGATGTAAGGCACAAAAGTAGCCAAACGGACTCCGAAGAGGTCTGCAAAAGATATGGAAATGTTCCACAAAGCCTATGAACGAACCTTACAACTCGGTTACATTACATGTGCTAGAAAAACAGATACTGTTTACTCGAACCTTTACATTCAGTGCCAAATCTCAATGATAAAGACTCAGAACTCAAAATCCATCTGTTTCACTTCTTCTTCAGAAACATCTTCCAGTAAATAAGAAACTCAGAAAGATTTATGATTTTCATTTTTGCTATTGAACATCCGCTGCATCCAAATATTTCCCTCCTCAAGGTCGTGCCGACTGTTTTGTGCCACGGGTTTCCATTTCTACCTGTTTGTGGACTAATATTCAACGTAAATAGTAACGGAAGGGAGTACACACGTTTAAAATTGAAATTTAATACCCGTTTTGTTGATTTCGATTGAAAATCACAATTTCCTTTCAAGCAGTACTCAGTGATATTCTCTTTAGATGATTAAGCGTTAGGATATGTTGAACTCTGACTGTTTGATAGATTCTGATTATGACAGTGATCTTGCATTAAATACGATTGTTGCCTTCACATCTCGTCATTTGACTGAAGAAATTGAAGGACAGGTGTTATATCAGGAAAAATACCAGAAAGAAAAGGTAATATATCAACTTATATTCAGATCCAGTAGATAAAAACGCTGACGGTTGCCCTCATTATTTGTCTGAATATTGATATAGACCCTCCTGATGTGCAAAAGATTTCACCTTTCTCAAGAGTTGAAGCTTGGTTTGATCCAACTGATGCTAATAGTTTACATGCTCTGGAGACAATCGGGAAAAATTTGCAGGTAACCACTTTTCGTATAAGATTTTTTTGTTTCACCTCGTACCTCATTTTCTACAATTTGTGCAGTGTTTTTTGGTTGAAAAGGTTGAACACTGTTCTTGACAGATGGTATATAGTAACAACTCAAATACGATATTAACACGCACAGTGGTTTGTATGAAATGTATTTGGCTCTTTCTTCTTTTGGAGCGGCTATGTATGTTAAAGTCGAAGACAGAACTTCTCATGCTAACTACTTGCATTCCCTTTCTTATGAATTTGAAATCACTTTTCCATAGTTATGCCTTCCTTCGGAGTTTGCTGTTCTCATGCTCCACTTAGATGTTGGGTGATTATGAAACCTAAATCTTTAACACCATGTTACTCAAACTTATTCCCCTATGGTTATCACGAAAAGATTTATACTTCCTTATGAAGGGAGATCCTCAGTGAAGTAGAACAGTCTGACGCGATTACCTCCGATTCCTATATGCTCTCTAGTACTTCCGTTACTCTAATCAACAATTTCCTACCTCCATCCTTAAACCCTTCAGACGACAAACCGTCAGGTCGTGCTGCTCTGCATCGTGTCAGGTTCAAAATAGCCCTTTCGACTTCGATGAGAGTTGGAGATCCGATTCTCCAGCCCCATTTAATTTTATTTTGGGTTGGATGCTGCTACTGGGGCGCTACTGTAGGTCAGTTAGACTTTGCTTCAAAGTGCCATGCTAAACGTTTAGGCTGTCTCCTGAGAGGTTATCCGATCACCATCATCTACTTGCTGGTATCTTTAATCAGCCTAAATAATTGCCGAGTATTACTTAATGGTGATGCCTCCTCTATCTCTCTCCATATCACCAATTAGCAATGCTCGCGACCATTGAGAGGAATTTTAGTCTTTTTACTTTTTGCGCTGTTCTTCCTCATTTTGGTCACAACCAGCTGCAATCAGTCTTCTTGCATCAATCATTTCGGATGGAGTTGCGGAAATCCGTTGACTTGTGCTAACTCCTGGACATAGCTTTCCAACAGTCTTTGCTGCTGTGTCTGCAGCAGGCTCAATGTCGCACCAGGTTTCCCCAGTGTGGGACTTGCTTCTGCGTTCAGAAAAATATTTAGCTAATTCCCCCTTAAATGTGTACTTCACGTTCGCATCTTCTAATCAAGCACAGACAAGCTTGACTGCCGCCTACTTTCTGCAACCAGTAAGGCGCAGACACGTGTGATCAGAGTTAAATCAGGTACTTCAGAAAGTGGCAATCCTCTGTTGATCGTTTGCAACCGTGGTTTATATCAGTATGATGTGTCTGTGTCCATAGGTTTAATATTGGTGGATGCCATGTGACAGTGTCTTACCTTATTCGTGTAGTTAGTGGTGATCAGAAACAAGTGATTGTCGGGACAAGTTGCAACAGACAATCATCGTTGTCGTCTCTTTGGTACGGGATTCTGTAGATACCTTCCGGATTCCTTTCTGATTGGCTTAGCTTCCCTACTAGAGCTTTAAAGTCACCTGGTATTATGGCTGTATACGGACATTTCGGTTTCTGTAGCAAAAATTGACAGTTTCTAGTCGAATTCATCCTTTGTATCATCCAGACTGAAGTCTCTGGGTGCGTAGGCGGAGATTATGAATAGATATCGGTTGGTCTCACGATTTTTCCTAGTTCTTATACATCCAATCAACCAAGTAGCATATGGACGTTTGTTGAACGGTATCTAGTTAAGGAATTCCTTTTCAGAGTTACAACCAAGCGCCATGCATACACCAACGAGCCCACAAAAGAACTAACTATTGGGTCTCCGTATACTTGTAAGGTCAGTTTTGAAGATTTACTACAATGGCTAGATGAGTTCAGGTTAATAACTGCATTGGAGTCCTATACACGTGTCTCAGAGACACAACACACATCTGTCGCTCAAAATTACAAAGCTCTGGTGAGCTATTTCTGTTGTCTGTTTCGGTCTAAAGTTCAGTATGTGATGGGGTCTTAGGTAAATAGGAGTAGTGTCACTGGCTATGGTCGTTGGTAATGATCGCGGAGTAACAGACTGATGAGGTTATATGTGAAGATAAAGGAGGTGGAAGTGAGGAGGGTAAGCTACGTTTAATTTAATCTTGTATACTTCTGGGAGCGTGTAGGCGGTTGACATTTCCTGGCTGCCCACACCGTAGAAGGGTAGTTCTCTTCGAAATACCTGAAAGAGAAGGGTCAGTGCTTGACCGCAGAGTTCAAGAAGCATCTGCCTGAGGCCGATCGCACACGGCTATTTTATAAGTTTGAGATTTAAGTTTATTAGTTTTGTCTCCGACTGTGGATCAATATGGCGGTCACCGGTATGCCGCGGAGTAGAGGGGATTGTGCTCTTTTCTACTGAGTGACGTTGGTAGATTTCCTTAGTTCAGTTTGTATAAACACTGATTGAGATTGGCTGCTAATGTAGTTAAATTTTACTTGGAAGGCTGAATCTTCCAAACTAACTCAATGGGATAAGCGAACTGTTAAATTGATGGTACTGAGAACCTAGGTTCATTTCATTGAACGATTGAGTTCTAAGGTCTGTCGACAGTATACTGTTTTTTCACAAAATCTAAATAGACTTCAGTGTTGTTTGACACTCCCATATTCTCAAAACTGAAGGCATCTCATTTATCAATTATGTTTCTAAATACTTCACTATTTTAGTCTCAGTACGAACGATGGCAACCTCGTGCAAGATATAAACAATGTCTTGATCCCACTTTAGATGATGTGAAAAAATTGTGCCTTAGTTTGAGACGTAACGCCAAAGATGATAGAATCTTGTTCCACTATAATGGACATGGAGTTCCAAGACCCACTGAAAATGGTGAAATATGGGTTTTCAATACGGTAGGTAGAAATTGTAAAAGTTTTAGTTTTTACGGCACTTTTTTCTCTCTACTTAAAATTTTACCATTGCCTTTTTTGCAACCAGAGTGCACAAAATTACTTCTGCTGTTTCTGTTTTATTAGTCCAGCAGTCATCCATGTACTCTATAGTATCACATTATCTTTCTACTAAGTGCACTGATAAACATTACTGCTTCATTTAAAAAAAGCATCATTGCAATTTTTCTCTAGTGTCTACGTATTTAGAGTGCCATAGACCACTTACATCCTTCTTCATCAATTCACTTATCTTGACACGTCAATGTAGGTAAATTGGAAGTCTAACATACAATGTATTTATATTGATGATGAAAGCCTATTTTTGTGTTAACTGTATAGTTGTGTTAAAGATGGTCGGGTGGATTATACGCGCTATCTATTGGTTCTTGTACTGAATGTCATTGAAAAGTATATGATTCGACATTGATGAGGAATTGGGTAGCCTAACATCTTAAAGTGTAGATAGATGTACTTTTAGTAGTAGCTTTGTTACTGTATCTATCCGGTTGTGATATATTTACTGAAAACACTCACCTTTATTCGATTCTACATATCTTTTTAATGAATGAATAAAGGTATTCAAACAAAAGTTACCAACTTGATTTTATGCCTATTACTATGCTAATCTAATAAAAATAACTGAAATTCTTGGAGAAGTTCACTCTACTTTTAAAATCCTAAGTTTGTGTTGTTCCAGTAATATATTTAAAAAAAATGTTTCTATAAACACAACTGAGTTTTATCCATTTGAATGTCAGTGTAACATGGCAGTGTACTTTTTTCCATAAGCACAAACTCTCTGAGCTAATCACCAAGTGACTATTATCCCTTAAAGAAAATATGTAATCTGTAGGTATAACAAGATGTTGCATCTAGTCCTATAATGGGACTCAACCAGGGATTGGACTCAAGACCTTCGGGTTCCTCAGCCAGTACGTTACCATAAAGCCACTGGTTCCGTGAACTAAACATTACAGCAGAACTCGATCCACGTTGTACATGAAGAGTGGGAGTTTGCGTTCAACTATCTCTAGAGTGAAGCAGCTGTAGTTGAAGGTTGTCTTGGTCTCATATAACTCAGCAACCGTGTGTTTTTAGTTACTGAACAATGAACTGCACCTACTTATTTTGAGGGTTAATAATACTGTCTAGCTGCCCTAGCTTTCAGTATATCAAAGGAATTTCGAACTCTTGTAACTCATTAGTTGAAAGTCAGATGTGTCGACCGATGAGCGACAGCTTCAATCTCTTTTTGTAATAATTCATAACCAAAGGCAGTAGCTGTTTGTTGATATTCTCGTAATTCTCCATTTTTATATTGAATCGAAATGTTCCACCTCTGTTGGCATATGAGATCTTATGCAGATGCCTCGATGTTGTTTGAATATTTACTATCGTGCCTCAGTGGCCTAGTGGACAACGCCTTGGCATTTAAAGCGATGGGTGTGAGGTTCGAGTCCCCCTGAGAACATCACTCACTGAGAGGCAGGTACACACAGCTTACGAGTCCTGAGTAGGACAAGACGCGCGTCCTGGATTCCTCTGTTAGCCACAACCAAGTAAATTATAAAAGCAGTCACCATATATATATATATATATATATATATATATATATATATATATATATATATATATCGTTGAGAATTTCATTCTTTGCTTTTATTTCACTTTACAGAAATTTACAAAGTACATCCCACTATCATTGTATGATCTTCAAAGGTGGTTAGGTGCCCCCTCTGTTTATGTGCTTGATTGTCAAAATGCTGGGAGAATTATACAAATGTATGAAGTGTTCTGTGAACGTCGAAAAGCTGAGGTAAATTGTCCCAATTGTATTTAGCTAGTAACGGTCCATCTGATGTTCTCTACGATGACATTAAGATTGATTTAGATCAGTTCAATAAAAGATATCTTAGTCTTGATAAGCTTTTCATATGATGATTGTCCTCCACTCTGACTCTACTGTTTTGCTCAAACGTAGTTGTTTTTCAGAAGTTACTCCATTTTAATCTTCGAAACAATTTATTTTTTCACTATCATCTGAGAGGATGTATAAGAAAATAACTTTTAGTCATGAGGTTGTACTCCGAATGTCCCAACTACTTAGGTTAACGAAGTCAGGTAATGTCCATTGGCTATCATAATGCATTTGGCTCAAAGCCGAGTGAGTTACATAACCTGTGTACGTGTTTGTTGGAATAATTTTTATGCCTTTTCCAAAGTTTTTCAAGCATTTTAGTTAGCAGAAAAAGTGCTTTATTCCCGAAGGTAAACTTCATAATGATTTCACATCATTTGAGAAGCAATATACAACTGTATGGTTGTGGTTCACTAACTAATATATTTGACTTTCAACCAGTGGGTTCTTAGTTCAAACCCCGTGTCACACAATTTGGTTCAAGCAAACAGGTGATATCAGAATCCTTCAAATAATGTAACTCGTGATACGTAAACTTCTGTGCCGAACTTAGTTGGACTAAATATTGATTTAATTATGCGTCTATATCGTTGTAAGATCAGTGGTATTCACACCAGTTGTATAAGCAGCATTTGACTTTGACAAACTTAATTTCTTCAATTGATATCCTTTTGCAAGAACTCAAACATGTGCCAGTCACAATAACTTATTTGAAACAACGCAAAATTGGCAACCATTTGCAAGTTTGTTCACTATTAGATAAGTCACACCTATTATGTGTATGCTAGTGATACAAACTTGAGTGTTGAAACCTCAGTAAGTGAGGCGTTTTTTTAACTCGTTACCCAAAGGTTAAAATTGAGCGTATAGACTATGAAGTCATAGGTCTTAAACGACGCCACATCTACTCTTAGAGGGGGTAGGAGAAAGAATGTATCTCTTAAACATCTTAGATAAGCCTTGTTGATTCATGAAAAGAAACAGGAAACATGAACCTTAAAGCATCCCAACGTTTCCTACAGCAGTCGAACATCTTTTATTACTTCACTACTGAGAATCTATCAGTTCAGCGGAACATGAGGTCGTAGGTGATCTTAGGTGTCAACTAGTCTGTGATATCCTGTTTTTCAGTGCCAAATTAAAATGAACTTTAATATTGTCCCAGATTAGAGTCTTGGTGGGGCAAACAACGCTCACTTGGAGACGTATATCCAGTTGAAGATTCCCAAGTAGGACAAAACTTGCGTCCTAGATTCTGCTGCTAGCCACTATTCATCATTAATATAAGATGGACTTTACTTAATTCTAGTCCAACTAACTTTCTAGTGTCTGTGACAATGACTAACTTATCAATATATTGGCTGTACATCATCAGAATCACTTGAGGTCATGTTGTCTCGTGTTTTGCATGTGCTTGTGGAATGGTAGGTTGGAAAGAAGCACACTTATAACACTATTGTTGTTGTTATTGTTTTAGTAGTCATAGTTGTAAGAATGATATTTGCATATCATCTTATGAATTCTTCGTTTGTGCATTGACTTCCGCTGGCTAACTATTCTGTTTACATACCGATTATCACTAAAAGTACAGATATATATATATATATATATATATATATATATATATATATATATATATATATATATATATATATATGGGGAGAGAGAGCGAGGAAGAGAGAGCCAGTACTATTTATTTTCACGTGTTTAGCCGATAAATATGATCACTGATTGAGTTCCTAGAGAAGGTTACGGGAGGTATTGCTGCTGGTATTTACTGACTGACTGCGACACCCACTAATGTATTATACAATCCAGCAGTATAATATACTATTCAAAGTAAACAACATGGGAAGTTAGCAGGGTTACTGACACTTTCAGAGTTGGTTATGTTTCCTTGTGATGTGAATACTGTAAAAGTAGTTACGCCTTAGGTTTTAAGTAGTATTGATAATAGTTAACGTATATTTTGCTTTATATATTTGATGATACGTGTTTATATGTACTCAATCGTTGCCTTTCTCTACATTGATATTGATTTAGGCGTAGGATTATAGTGAAGAAGGCTTTATCAAAATGTAACAAGGAGTTATAAAAGCATTTCCTATTAATTTGAGCTATTATATACGGAAATATAGGTTATGTATAAGACAGTAGTAGAGCTTGAATACTTTAGATTTCTTCGTTCAAAATTGTAATTTGATAATTTGATATCACTGTTCCATTGAGTTAGTCAGTCACTGACGATACAGTATTGTTACTTTGTGTTAACCCTGTAAATTAGTCGTTAGCCTCTTATGACATGTTTTTTGTTGGAATTGAAAATTTTCTTCTTTAGGCAGCTGTAGCTGAACAAAAGCTAATGGAATATGATGGAAAAACTGATCATTCAGAAGCCTACCAATCTAATCATCCAATACGCTCTGGGCTTTATGAAGTGTCTAATCTCCCTGATTCACATGTTCAGGTAGGTATCCTTATTTCAAGTGATTATTCCTGATTATTTATTTGTGTTTTCTTGTTAAATTTAGAAAGCAGTCTCTGAAAAGGAACAATATAAAGATATGTTGTGTTTGACTCATAAATTACTCCAAAATTTGCATTGAATCGATAATCATGTTTTGTCATCAAACTGAAATTGCCTTTCAGTGACTTACTAAACAATATCCGTGCATGGTTAAAATGTTATACAAATCTAGTCACTGTCTACTGTGAGACGTGCATTATCAGCTGAAGTAGAAGAAGAAAGCAGTCAAACTGCAACGTGTCTTTATGAAGTCTTTGATTATTGATTTTGAGCCTTTTAGAGGATTGGAGACTTATTGGTCAGTGTTCCTCGCCTTGATAACCGAAATCGATGGTTGGAGGCTGTAGGTGTGTTATAGCATAAAACCGACTACAGTGGCGCAAGTGCGTCCACATATTTACCTCATCCTAATCATTATATCACATTTTGTTATCTGCTTTATTCGTCGTTTCTTCTTATGAATTTCTACGCTTTTTCTAATTATTTCTCTGTCTTTTGGCTTTTTGCTTGACTTATGGCATGGCAAATTAGATCATAAGGTAGTAATACCAGGCTTTATGTAGATATTGACTGACTGTTATTGTGCTTTTGTGGTATTCCTTCTTTAGGCTATGGTAATAGGCTAATTTAATCCAGCCAATAAAACACTGAAAAACAAAAAGTGTATGCAGATGCATCGAATTGAGCTTGGATAAATCTGCTGAATGGACATGATTCAAACTGACTAATCTCAGAAATGCAAACAAACTATCAGCTAGATAGTCAATTCTAAGAAATGGATAACGAGATTCAGCGGAATGCTTACCAATACGGGTTTATTCTAAATGTTCTTACCGCATTATATTACACGAAGAGTAGCTTGTCGGGAATTCTTATATGCTTCACATTCCGTCGTTTTTAAACCGATAAACAGTACTTTTCCTTTGACACCTCATGAAAATAACAGAATGTAACTGCCTGATTGTGATCAGTCGTATGTTATGCGTATAAACCGCTTTATGTATTATACTAAGGGTTTCTATCACGGTATTTTCAGACATGCTGAAGGAATGATAGCTTAATGTTATGCATTGCCTTCCGTTTTCCAAAGGGTTCCCCAGTCTTCCATTTCTAGTTAGTTATTAGGATGAAATTGTAAGTGATTTAGGAATTCATTCGAATGAAGTTTAACTAGCCTAACAAAAAAATTTACTCGCCAAATCTTGTTTTTTTCCCTGTACAAATATTAAAGTATATCATTTCACCTAATTCATCCTTTATCTTATATTCGGTTTAACCTGTGTAGGGATCTCTACAAAGTACACCTCATGTTGTGAGTATGGAAAATACAATCATGTTAGCTGCATGCGGTAAAGATGAAGACTTACCACAGAATCCTAATCTACCTGCTGATTTGTTCACTGCATGTCTGACCACACCAATTCGAATGGCTCTTCGTTGGCATTGGCTACGACATCAAGAGTATTTTCCAGGTAAGCTCCTTTCCTTTCCATTCAATCATTTGTGTCTGTAATCACAATGGTTTTTAAGGGTTACACTACTGTATACCTTAAGGTTGCTTTTTAGCACCCTAGATGTGTAATTCTCCACATGTGAGTCGTGAGTTCGACCTCACTTCAGTTACTAATATCTAGATATTTCGGTAGTATCGTTAACAAACACACACAGGGCACTAGTACACAAACGTGTATACTGTTCCTTAAAGTGTTCTTAAAGTTGAGAAGGATTTCTGGCGGATTTTCTCAAAAGCATCTAGCCATCTAGTTAACCACATTATACTTCTGAGTCAGTCACATAATTGTTAAAAAGTATTGCACCGTAATGATGCTGACAAGATGCACAGTATTCTGGACATATTGAGTGGCAAGTTGAAAATGTTTGGTATGCGTTTCTCGCCACCCAAGTGCAAATTATTCACCCAGGACTTCTCTTCAACGGTATCCCGACTAACAATAGACAGTGAAGTGGTTGAGTGTGTTAAACACTTCACTCACCCTGGAAGTCAAATCAGCCCTCGTGCATTAGTCACTGACCGACGAAATCTCTGTAGGCATATAGAAGGCTCGGTTGGCGTTCGCCAAAGTACATCATCTGTGACGCCATGGTGATATCCGATTGTCTATTAAGGCTCGAGTGTATTATACTGTAGTTGGATTTCTTCTACTTTGTAGCTGTGAAAGGTGGTCATTGAAGAAGATATGAAGATATGAAAAGGCTTGTGGTGTTTGACCACTGTTTGCAGTATACGACATGTTTGGTGGTGTCACGAGGTGAGTAAGGCAGAAGTCAGACGTGGAGTGTTAGGCGTGAGAGGTTGATATGGTGGTTGATGCGGTTGTGAATGTTGATGAAGTGAGATGACTGACTGGGACATGTGTTACATATGCCTAATCACCGTCTCCCTGATCACCATCATTATCGTGATGATGTTGGTCGAAGTAGGTTGAGTTTTGGAAAAGGTTTGGGTTGGGTTGGGTTGGATTGGGTTGGCGATAATGAAGCATGGGATGAATGTGTGAAGTCGTTGAGTGTTGGTTTGAGGCGTGTATGGTGATGCAGAGTAAGTGGTTGGGGTGTGTGGGACAAGAGAAAGCAGTGGTTGGAGACTGTGAGTTGGTAATATGTCTCATAACTGATGTCAGTGATGTCGTTCTTCTCTTTCACTACTTTATACTCCTACTTCTTTTGCTTAGTCTTTCTTTCCTTCCTCGTCTTCTATTATATTGCATTGTTACTTGATGTACTGATATGAGGTGTGACAACTTGGACCGTTGTGCAGTCAGTAATACCTACTTAGTCTTATGTTGATCTTGGTGATGATTTTGATGATGATGATGATGATGATAATGATTGTAGTGTGATCATTTATCACAAACACAAGAGATTCGAAAATATTGAAGTTCAAACATATTAAAGAATTCATTATAGTCATAATGCATTAGACTTGAATGATGCTATTTTCAACATGTGGACATTATAGTGTTGGTATATTGAGAAATATTGAAGTTAATTTGTTTCAACACACGATATCATTCATTAATTACAACTATGAGAAGTGTGTTAAAGGTATACCAGTGTATACTTAACAAATCATATATTCTTACTAATCAGTTGTACAGATATCATGCATAAAATAGGAACACATTACTTTTTCAAGTTGTTATTCATCGAAGACTGACATCAGTTGGAGGAACAAAGGAAACCTGGGAGCACTGGACAGCTGTTTCGTCCTAGTATGGGACTCCTCAGCAGTGCGCACCCACGACCCCACCAGCAGGGATCGAACCCGCGACCTTCAGGTTCCGCGGCCAGCGCGTTACCATTGAGCCACTGGGTCAGAATCCTTACTTTTTGATATTTCCAAAAGAAAAATGATATTAAAGATCAGAGATTTTTAATTTGTAAGATATCTTGTATCACTGTAAGATTTAACTCATTGATACACGTGGTTTCTTCACTCACTAGTCTATACGTGTTGATTTGTGGAGTTCAACTATTAACCATAGGATTCCTTTATGGTTGTAACAGAGTCTGTTGTACTACTTTCACTTTTCAAGGTTCTTAGTTTTAGTTTTCAAGTTCCAAGTGATTACTTTTAACCAATGAAAACGCTAGTTCAATTGAAGTGTACCATAATGATGAGTCCCTTAGCCCCTCATGATCACACTATAAAATGATTCATAGACTTCAATCAGCACTTTAGACAAGGAAATATAACATTGGTTACCAACCAATGTACCTAATCCAGTCCTGCAGGAGGTCAGTTGTGACCCAAATAACTCTGTGATAACGTCTCTGATTGCAACCCCTAGTGATGAGGATTCGAGTCACTCATGAGAAATCAGTTCCCTCGAGGTTACAGATGCCACCTTGCCGAAGAATGCCAAGAAGGACGAAACCTTGGTGCAGAGCTTCTAGTCGATGACCTACACCCATTTAACACTTGTTCGAATTTCTGCTGCTAGATTCTTATTTTGTATTAGGTGTTATCCGGTTCAATATGCGAATGTAAGACCCTCGGATAGCACTTTTACCTTCCAAGAGTAAGTATGCTGTGTTCGAGTCCCAGTAGAAATAATAACAGTCACTTGAATGCAGACGAATACAGCTTACAGTTTTGCTGCTACCCACCAAAAGACGACTAAAATGAAAATCACACTTATGGCAATAGAAAGTCCCAGGGTTTCGATTAACTAGTTCTAGTTGAGCTTATTATTTTTTAGATTTGGAAGTGCACTATTATAACAGAATGTTACAAACTGTTATTGTTTTGCTAGATCTTAGCTCATTTTAAAGAATTAATCTGGTGTTCATTGGTGACTAGCTTCGAGAGGTGATTCCCAAAGTTCCAGTAAGAAGTTGTGACCGGTGGGGCCAACCAAGTTGAACATGAGGACACTTACTTAACGACAGTATTGGATGGAAGTCGCGTTATACTAAACTGACTGAAGTAGGAAATACGGACCAATGGGTTTCCGACCCAGTGGCTCAATGGTAGTGTGCTGGCCATGGAACCTGAAGGTCCTGGGTTTCACCTCTGGTGGGGTCATGGGTGCACACTGCCGACGAGTCCCGTACCACGGCAAAACAGCTGTCCAGTCCTCACAAGTTTCCAATGTTCCTCCAGCTAATATCAGCCCAAGATGAATACCAACCTGAAATCAGTAACTTCCCCCCTCCCAAATTGAATTAATTAAGATGTTTACTGTGGAGTAATTCAAAGAGATGCAGATCACAAGTATTCCTTTCTATCTGACGGTTAACAGCAGTTCAACTCTTGATATCGATCTGTAATGAAAGCTAGCTGTTGTACTAAAACAAAGACCTTATCTGTACATCTGATTTCTCTGCACTGTATAGTACTTTGAAGAAAATTGTAAATTCCCTCTGACATGAAATATATCTTGGTGGTGAATGACTGGCGAATTCCACTACTGAACGCAGTCCACAGATAACAGCAGAACAAGGTAAGATTTCAGATTGAAGTCAGATATTTCGGGCAAGCTCGGAGATCTACAGGTGAAAACCAACAAGTTGGCAGAAGAGACAGGACAACGAAGACGGGACTTCAGGTGAACGTAGGGAAGACAGAGGTGATGAAGATACCCAGCCAACAACGTGAGAAATCTAAAGGAAGTTGTCGCTCTCATCTACCCAGGCAGCGTCATTCCAACTACAGGCGGCGGCACAGATGAAGATATCAAAGCCAGATTTGAAAAGCAGGGCAGGCCTTCATTAATCTGAAATCAGTATGGAAATCTACTGCATTCCACTGATTATAAAGAGTGAACAAGATCCGGACTTTAAACACTAATGTCAAGTCGGTGCTACTATATGGTTCAGAAACTTGGCGAGTCACGAAAAGTATTTCCAACAACCTACAGACATTCATCAACAGCTGCCTACGCTGGCTCCATACAGAAGATCAGATGGTCAGAATAGTAAGAATAAGCAACAAGGGACTCTGGCTGGCTGGATGGCAACGAACCAAACAAAAACCCATCACGCAACAAATATGCTGAAGGAGAAAGTGGAGATGGATTGGACTAAGCATACACTGAGAAGGCCGACTGGGGACATGATGCGCCAGGCTTTCGAGTGAAAACCAAATAGGAAACGATGAGTTGGGTGTCCGAGGCGAAGGTGACATGGAAGAGATGGTGTGAGGAAGAAATGATAGCTCGTGAGCTGTAGTGGAGGCAGGTTGAAAAGACTGTAGAGAAGAGAGTGACATGGCTATGTGTTACTGAAGCTCTGTATTCCACTAGGAACCCAAAGGACAAGTAATAATAATAATTATTTCCATCATCGAAGTCAAAATGGGAGATGAAACATCATTTTTTTTACATGTACGTCAACTGTTGTTCAAACGAGGAAGATGAATACCTTGTTTAAAACATAGTGTATCAGTAAAAGTGGTTGATATTGGCCAGGTGTAAAATGTACAAAAAAAAATAAAATTCAAAACTGTAGAAGGTAGTTTGGAAAGGAATAAGAGTGTGAAGTTTCTTTTTGTCATCTGACACCTAAATTAATTTGTGAAGTAGATGAGAAGATACTTACCCACCTACATTGTCAATCATTGAACGGAAATCTGATTATGTTTGACATGCTTTCCACTGGTACATATCAAATGTAAATGTAGGATGATGCTCTAGGACTGATTTGCTTCAAGTACTCTCAGTTTAATGATAGGGAGTGAAGTGGGGGAATGTGTTGACCACTTCACTTACCTTCGGACTTGCATAAGCTCGAACGGTCTGGTTGCTGACAAAATCCCAGCTTGCATAACGAAGACTCGTTTGATATTTGCCAATTTGCTTCACCTGTGGTACTGACTGACGAAATATCCGACTATCTATCAAAGGAAGAGTATACTGCTCTGTAGTTCATCTTGTCCTGTTATGTAGCTGTGAAATGTGGTCGTTGAGAGTAAAATATATGAAGTGGTTACAGGGTTTTGATCACAGACGCCTTCGTAGCATTGCTTGCGTTTAGTGGAATCACCGTGTAGGCAATTTTGGGGTCAGGTGAAGGTTACTAGGTAAGACAGGCAAGTCGATTGATGAGGTTGAGAACTGAGAGGAGTTGGACATGTGCTGTGACTGCCGATCCACCGCCTACCTCGACGTGCTATGCTAGTGGGAGTTGGATTAGTTTGAAAGAGGGTTTAGGGTGGGACCAGTCGAGGACTTTCGGTCACATGGCTGAAAACTGGTCACAATGGCGCAGACTTTTTCACCCTTTGATGTCATCTTAGGTTTGGATATTTGTACTAACCGTTATCTTCCAACTGTTTATTCTCTCACACAACCTTGTCTACTTTGATATCACTCTTTTTCTATCCACCTATTCTTCGCATACTAGTGTTGAAGTATGGCAACTTGAGGTGATGCACCTGTGTCCAAGGTTCTAGATTGATTCTGTCTGTCAATCGTTTTGTTATTACTGCTGTTCCTAACCTTCCATTGTTATTCTCTTAAATATATCGTCATCAAGATTAACTTTTCACCTTTTACATTTCAGGTTATTTGGATGAAGCTCTACTCGATCGTATACCAGGTTCACATTCAAATCGAATGTCTTTACTAGGTGAAATCAATTGGATATTCACAGCTGTTACAGATACAATAGCCTGGTGTAGTTTCCCATTGGATATATTTCAGAAATTATTTCGTCAAGATTTACTCATAGCTAGTCTTTTTAGAAATTTTTTATTAGCTGAACGTATTATGAAGAGTTATGGTTGTCAGCCAGTTTCAGCACCATTATTACTTCCCACATATCAACATAGTATGTGGTAAGTTGTTTGTGTGTCTTATAGTTTTTTTCAGTAAATATGCCCTATCCATTAGGTGACTTTTGCATAAAACATGATTTCGTTGAAGAGTTTTCTTTTCATCATATATCCATGACATGTATATCAGTCGATAGGGTGACCAGAAGATATATCTTCTATTGAATTAGTATTCTTAATAAGTTCAGACAAGTTTTAACTACTATTTTCAACCTAAATTGATAAAATTTGAAGCATGAACGTTCATCAAGTTGCAGCAACCTCATACTATCCGTTGTTTTCACTAATGTGAATCGATGGTTGAATTTTGTAACCACTGACTGAGAAGAGTGTGTTTCACATGAAATCAGTTGATACAGGTTGGCAATAAGTAATTTCCCTAGAGTAATTACATCTAAGTATCATGTAAGCTTCTTTGTCTCGATGAGATCTGGATTATATCACCAAGTCTCTTAGCGAAATCTTCATAATTAGACTTTTTACTAGTTGTTGAGATCTTGACGTGGTGATCGAGCTTTTATAAAGAGGATTACATAACAAGTTGTTTGTGTTTTGTTACATTCTTACAAGGTGATGGGTGTCATGTAGCTCACATATATCAGGTTCTTACAGCACTTACAACCAGTAAACATAGAATAATGGTGTAGATGTTGTTCATCAACGTGTAGGCTATCGACTTTGAATCACTGGGTCATAGGTTCGAGTCCCGACCCACTTAGTGAGTTTTGGGTAAGCAGGTAAGTACTATCGTCTGTCATCATTTAGTACGGGTTGCTACTACCTGTTACATAAACATGTAAGTGTTTGCGTAGTTGCACCATTTGGCATGAATCAAAAGTGTTGTTTGAACAACCAAATGGGCAATCAGATAAGATATCTTAACAGAAACTATCAGTTCACGTCATTTACTCATTGGAATTTGAGTTTGAAGAGGTCGGGATGTAACTGTAAAGTTGACTTTCACTTACTACTCCTAAGGTCGACGGAAAGACTATTGAATTCTGGGTGTTACATAAGCTCATTTCAGTGTATGAATTTTAGTGGTGATGAAAGTTGTATGAAACGTGAGACGTATTACGTGTCACATTGCTAAAAAAGCTAAATATATGCACGCAAAATAATTGCAGTCAGTCAGAACGTCTGTTATGCTTTAGAGGCTTTTCTGGTGGAGTGTTTTTCTTGTTCATTGTTCACTTTAGAATCTCAGTCGCTTAAAGCCATTAAGGTAAACCTTCAGTTTTGTACACTGAACTTAACTTGGAATAAAACGCCAATTGCGTCTTCTCTCATACGCTTGAGCTTCAAGTAATTGAGAAGTCAGACAGCGTGTTATATTTTCGTCGCCAACGGTTATATATTATTCAACGCACGCTTAACTGACAGCTAACTTCGTACTCAAGAGCCACTGACTGCAACCTACGGACGAATAGAGAGAAGACCGAAGCTGGGATGATGAGAGAGTTTATTACTTCGAAAATATGATGATAACCGATCTGTCCCTAAACAGGTGGATATGTACCCACGTGAAAAGTGACCTTGTCCCCAATTTGAGACATTTGCATAGTAAGAGTGAAGATTAACCAATCAGAGAATAACATTACAATGTGGGCAGAAAAAAGACTAGTAGTCATATGGTACATAGTGGTGTGAAAATGCGAAGTTAGAAATGATCACATCAATAACAACGTTTTATGCAAAACTAGAATAAGCAACAAGGAGCTCTGGGAACGAACCAACCAAGAACCTATCACGCAACAAATATGCAGGAGGAAGTGGAGATGGATTGGGCATGCACTGAGAAGGCCGACTGAGGACATCACGCGTCAGGCCAGTTGCTCGAGTGTAATCCCCATGGGAAGCGACGAGTTGGACGTCCGAGGGTGACATGGAGGAGGCCGTGCGAGGAAGAAATGAGAGCTTCTGGGCTGTCGTGGAACCAGGTTCAAAAGATCTCAGAGAACAGAGTGGAATGGAGACGTGCTAGTGAAGCCCTATGTTCCACTAGGAACCCAAGGGACTAATAATAATAATAATGATGCAAAACTAGGCCTCACAACAGTGTGTTAACGGTGGTCTGTACAGAACAGTCAATATGTCTCATTTAAATATGCTTCCCCGCCCCAGTGATGAGAAGAATAAGCTGATCAGAGTTGGCAAATGATGACCAAAATGATCATTTCCTTATTCATTAGTTTAAATCTGAGGGGTAACTACTACAACATGGCTCCGACTGTATTGTTTCCGTTGTCGTATTCGATTGTAATCATCTATAAGTATAATTCCTTTTTCTGTTAATTGTTTTGATTATATAAAAGGGATGCATGGGATCACACATTAGATCGTGTAATCCACTATCTGCCTAGAATGCTGAAAATTATGGAAGGTAGTCCGTATACTGAAAAGAAACTGCCTATCATCAACGCAAATCCTACCACCAGTGGTCAACTGAGTCATTTACTTCATCACAATTATCATCAAGGTAATACTGTTAATCACCACAGTTCAAGTAAAGCTATAAATACTGTCAATAATCATAATAATTATAACACTAGCCATCGAATTACTGGTCCAGTTGGAAATATCCCTATTGATTTCTGTACAAATCGTACGGGTCATTTGTGTACTCAGCAACAACCACAACCACCTCAAGGAATATTAACAGGAGGAGGAGGAGGAGGCGCAGCAACAGGATGTTCAGGACAACTTCAACGGCAAACAACAACTATTCCAGCCTTTTGTCTACTGCCAACTAGACCACATAATTCATCTAACATTCTTCCTTCAAATCAAATACTAAACGATAGCACCAATTTCACTGTTATAAATCCAGTTGTTTCAGTCAGTACAACAACAATTACATCAACTCTTCCCTCTGTTTCAACTGGTGTTTCTACAACTACTGTTTCAAAAGTTTCTATTCCAGCTCCACTTGTCAATCATCAAAATAACCAGTTAAATCGTCAACTGAATGTAGAAAATCATTTAGGTAGTACTAATCTTCATGATGTTAATGATCGGTCTACTGTTTATCAATATAATGGTGGTGGTGGTGGTGGTGGTGGTGGTGGTTTACCTTCTGTAAGTCTTTACATTGATGATTTATGTTTATCATTTAGAAGTTGTTTGATGAATAATACGTTTTTACTAAGGTCGAAAGTTTAGTAAGCGGAGTATGGTATTGAGCTCATCTATGATGCTGCTATTCTAAACTTCTTGACTAATAATACAATGTCGATAAGTTTAGATATATGTATGTTTTGTATATGATCATTTGAAGTATCTATTTCCGCATATCGATTTTAAGTGGTTGCATATGACATACTTCTATCGTGGCTTATCAGATTGGGTATTCAATCTTCAACTAGTCAACCACGAGTTAATTCTACGCACCACCGACGAGGTTTAGGGTAGTCACTTGGGGTATAACATAGCCCTCACACTATGTGTGACTCGTTAAACCTGAAAATCATACTGAAAATCTCTGGGATTTCTATTTTCGAAGCGCTCCATGTAGTAACATAGTATATTTAAATCTCACGACATTTAACTATAAACACATCTCATCACATTTTGCATCCCATATGTAAATGCAAATGCTTGTGAGTGAGATAGCCTCACATGTAGTCAAAATAGTAATCAATATGGCACCTCCCCCCCCCCCTCTAATTCAGTTAGATTTCGATTGGGGTGAGAAGTCCTGTCAGTACGGCTAGTGTAAGTATGATCAAGCGGTAGTAACGCGTCACGAATTTACATGACAGATGAACAAAACCCTTGGTGATTGAAGTGGTATAAAAATCCGGTCAGCAGTCGGGTCTTGTAGCTACTAAGCTGGTAGAGTAACCGGGCGGAAACCCTAGTGGTTGTTGATTTTTCTCTGACAGCATCAAGAGGAAGTTAAGCGACATCTTTGAGTTTTGAAATGATATTTCGATTTGATTCTGTTTATTTCTTGAATATCGAGTGTGATTAATTCCTAACGAGATTGTTTCATATAATCCCCTGCATGTTCAGGATTTTTTTCTAATTTTCTGAACATGTCACGCTAAAGTTCAATAATTATAACATGATTCTACAACCTTCTAAAGTTGACCAATTAGTTTAAATCCAGATGAGAATTATTAAAGGGACTTCTTTTCCTAATGAAAAAAAATGTATTATTTGACAACATTTAGTACAATAATTGAAAAATTTATTCCATCTTGTTTAATTCAACTTGGGCGTTACAGGGTGAGATAATAATTTAGTTCAAGTCATCTAAACATGTCAGCTGATTTAGTTAACTTTATCATTTAGAGTTGTATTCTTGAATTCTTTGAAATTTCTAAATTTCTACTAACCTGTTATTGCCATATGGGCTCCTGTGTAGATGCCAGTAGTGGCCGACCTATTTGATCCAACCAACTAGAGGTAAGTTATAAGCAAGGAGTATTTATCTTGACTCATTGGGCCTATGAACAATCCTCTGACGTTTGAAGTGATCCGTCCTCATTTTCAGTCGTAGTAGAGACGATACTCACTCTGAGGTGGATAATACATCCACTTGATGAGTCCCAGCTATGACCAAACACGTGTACTGGACTCTACTGTAAGCCACTATCCATTATTAATATCTAACTAGACATATGTTGTAGGGTAAGACCAACTTGGAATATATATTATCACTTATAAATGTAGGTTATTAGGTATTTGTATGTCAAGCTAACAAAAGTACAAGTAAGCCAAGTGATATAGGGTTTCAGTAGGAATGCATTCAATAGATTCATATGTTGTCATGACGATAAAGATTTGGTTAGCGTATCATCTGCTTGTGAATGTGACCTTTATCGATTCGTCAGGGGTTGGTATTCAAAGGGTTTGTATGCACTACTTTGGCATCTGATGATAAGCTCTAATGTCTTCTTTAATGAAGTCATTTATGAGACGTTTTGTAATATTTTTGCCATCAACATCATGTTTACTTTAACTCCATTACACTCTTAAGCTAAACTGTAGTTTTTGTACTGGGTAATGACTGAAGATGAAATGAAAATTTGAACCACAGCCGGATTCAAACCAGAGATCACTAGCTCATTACTCTACCAACTGAGACGATATACTTAAAAATTATTCTTAAGGTGGTCTCTTTGATGAAGCATAATATGCCTAGGAATTCTATGGGAATCGCGTGTTGAATTGAGCACATTTTTAATAGACTATTCAAACAGGTTGACAGTTAACACTAAATCACTGTTAAAAATGTCACAATTTTATTAAATTTGATGAGATGATTCTCCAGTTGAGTTGTTTTGCAATATCCCATAGCTAATCTATTTTTAAAGAATTGAATCCCTTAGTGTATTTAGTTAATAGGTTTCTGTTGATAATAAATGCACCTCACTAGTTCAGGAACATTCTTCATTCAGGTGTGTTTTTTGTATCTTTAAGAATTCATTTTTGCATACTTTCCAGAATGAGTGAAAAATTGTTCGATTAACCTTTAACTGTACATTCTATTGTTCATTGTTACTCCTATATTCTGATTTCCTGGTGGAGGTGTCACTATCAACCATTAGGTCACGCGTTCGAGTCCCGTCCCCACCCTACTGACGCTTTGATAGCCAGATAGTATCACTTGCTGTCATACAATAGAATGTAGTTCATTGCCTACTGCACAGATGTGCATAAGGTAACTGAGTACATTTCTCTCATCTCTATTCTGATTTCTTTAAGGTGGATTTACCTCTTCATCAACCCAACTTTTTTAGTATTATTTTTACTCATTTCTGTATAATATTTATTTTTTCAGAATTGTCGTCGATCTCAGTTTCAAACAGTATCTAGTCAAGTGTCTACATTGGTACCACAGTCGAAGACATTTAAGCCTATTCAAAGTTCAGTGGCACCACCTCCAGGATTTAATCTGGAGCAAACAAAACAACAAAGGCGATTGGAGGCTGAAATTACAAATACAGTTACGAAAAGACCAGTACCTGCCTTGATTGAATCAGAACAACACGATATTTGTGCTGTTGACAAGGATGATAATAACGCTGGTGTTAATAGGGATATAATCAAAACGAAATCAGATTCTCATGATGTGGACCAGAAGCAACAGTTGCAGTTACCGAAGTTGCCTAAGGGGAACAAAAGCGATCATCAATCACCTGAAGATCATAAAATTACTAGTCATAGTAGAAATGCCAATTCAACTGCTGGTCAAAATGCCTCACCTGAGCCTCCTACCACTTCAGTGCTTGCCAGTAATGATGAAAATAAGAAAAGTACATCGAACAACACATCTAGTTTTGGCGTTGATACATCCTCGGTGTTGACACTGATCAATTGTCATCAACAGCAGTTGGGTGAAGCATCTACAAATGATAGCACTCACTCCACTGAAAAGGATGATGCGAAATCGTCTGAAATTGTTACAAATAATCAGGTAGTAATATTGGTTCCGCTTTCCATCTCCACATCTCGCCCCCCTGTAATTATACTTCTAATCCATATATTAAAGCGTTGTTTATAGACAACATTTTCTAGTAGGCATGCAACTGCTGACTGAAGAGGCTATCACGTCGAATCTTGTAGCTGTGAAAGGTGGTCATTGAAGGTACAAGACATGAAAAGGCTTCTGGTGTTTGACCACTGTTTGCAGTATACGACATGTTTGGTGGTGTCACGAGGTGAGTAAGGCAGAAGTCAGACGTGGAGTGTTAGGCGTGAGAGGTTGATGTGGTGGTTGATGCGGCTGTGAATGTTGATGGAGTGAGATGACTGACTGGGACATGTGTTACATATGCCTAATCACTGTCTCCCTGATCACCATCATTATCGTGATGATGTTGGTCGAAGTAGGTTGAGTTTTGGAAAAGGTTTGGGTTGGGTTGGGTTGGATTGGGTTGGCGATAATGAAGCATGGGATGAATGTGTGAAGTCGTTGAGTGTTGGTTTGAGGCGTGTATGGTGATGCAGAGTAAGTGGTTGGGATCTGTGAGACAGGAGAAAGCAGTGGTTGGAGACTGTGAGTGGGTAATATGTCTCATAACTGATGTCAGTGGCACAGATGAACACACACACACACACACACACATTATTCTCATCTCAACCGACATACTTCATCTCATCATTTTCTCATTCTTCCATCGTCTTTCTTTCCTTCCTTCTTCATCTCTCAGTTTGTTGCCTTGTTATTTGACGTGTTGATATGTGAAGTATGGCAACTTGTGTGCCGTTGTACAGTCAATAATGCCTGGTACTATGTTGATCTTCATGATGAACTAATCGCTGAGTATTCTTAATAAAGCTCGGTCGGTTACTTGGGGTAAAATGCATTTCAGCAACATGTTCGACAAATAACGCTCCACCTGCGTTTATTGTGAGGGAATTAGACACACCACTGAACTTCACAAAATCTCAGTAAGCTGGACAGGATTCGAACGCATTGTTTACTGGTTGGTAGTTGAAAACTAAACACTTCAAGATTTCGTATTCGGCATATTTAGTTGGTCTCAGAATTTACGTGTAAGACGACTAAGATATTATAAACCATGACAATGGGAACCACAATCGTCATTTAACAGACTAGCGTGACCACCAGGAAACTTGATTCTCACCCAAGGTGAGTCACATAACACACCTAAAATGCACAGTCTCAAAACACTAATAGAGAAACACAGTTTATTGAAATGGAGAAAACAGGGTTGTATACTCTGACCCGATATGAATACACAATGAAAGGGGCCTGCTATTCAAATGACAAAGTAATGCAGTTCGGTAACTGATCTCTACATCAGGCTATAAGCCTTACATACATACATACATACATACATACGCATGCATATATCCATATATAGTGAAGTAATACGTCTTGATATCATCCAGTCTCTGACATCGTTAAAGGTGAGATAGAATTTGACTAATCAACTCCATTTCTAGTAATCATAAGCAAGCTGCATAGTTAGAGTTAGGCAATATTATCACTCTCCATTTTGATATTCACTGAAGAGGAATGAGTCGAAAAGCATAAACTAATCAACTAAAGCTTTGCATGATACACACAGCATAGTAAACTAACTCACCTGTCTCTGTGATAATGGTGGTTCATTCTCTAAATTACATTTAATCATTGGAATGATATTCGCTGTAGTATCACGTCTTATTATTGGATCATGCAGTTCAGTGTTATGCACTTGTTGTTGCTGTTGAGGTAAATTATTCACCTCACCTTCTTTCCTTCCCATTGATGTCAACCTTGTTGTATCAACCATTAACATATTATTGTTTACTTTAGATGTAGGTGACTGTGGTAGCGTTGGCAGTGGCGGTGGTGGTGGCGGTGGCTGTTGAATTGTCGGTAAACATCTATGATATTTATGCCCTACAGTATCAAATTTTTCTTCATGCACTTCATGTAGTGGTTTCAATTGTTGATGAGTATTCTGATAATTAGCATATTGTGGATGATGGCGATGATGATGATGATGATGATGATGATAATGTTTGTTGTGTGGACGAGAGAACAGGTATGGGCAAGATAGACTGCGTGAAAGTTGTCTCTTAGCTCTGTCATTACTAACAACATTAGTGTTAATCGTAGGGAAATTATTCGCAGTATCAACTATCTGCTTACTGTTTACCTTCTTTGATTCATTCTTCTTTTCATTTGTATCTGAATAAAGTGGAAGAGGACTAGGTCGCTTATCATTACTACTAATCACAGTAGTTGTTGGTTGTGTTTGTGTAATATTAGTTGTGGTTACTGTTGTAACAGCAGTAGTTGGAACATTCAAAGTAAGTGAACTAGATTTCAATTCTTCATCTTCATCTTCGTCATTCTCATCGTCATCATCATCATCTGCTTCCAAATGATCACCCTTGTGCATTGGATAGGTGCCGACAATGTCTTCGCACGGATGCAAAAGGCTCTATTTTCTTTCTCCAAAGTACGCCATCTGTGGAACCGCCGCGGTCCTGGTTATGTATTAAGTGTCGAGTATGTTGTGGTTGAAGTCTGCTCCGTCATACTGTATGGCTACTGAAGGTGGAAGATATGAGAAGGCTTCGGGCTTTTGATCATTGCTAACCTCTTAGCATTCACCGTGTTTCGTGGTGTCACCAGATGAGTAAGGCAGAAGTCAGACGTGGAGTGTTAGGCGTGAGAGGTTGATGTGGTGGTTGATGCGGTTGTGAATGTTGATGGAGTGAGATGACTGACTGGGACATGTGTTACATATGCCTAATGACCGTCTCCCTGATCGCCATCATCATGAAGATGTTGGTCGAAGTAGGTTGAGTTTTGGAAAAGGTTTGGGTTGGGTTGGATTGGATTGGATTGGGTTGGCGATAATGAAGCATGGGATGAATGTGTGAAGTCGTTGAGTGTTGGTTTGAGGCGTGTATGGTGATGCAGAGCAAGTGGTTGGGTTCTGTGGGTAATATGTCTCATAAGTTAACTTATTTTTAAGCTGTGTTATGAATTCAGCGTTTTCTCATACTGCTTCCCTGTCTTTTACTGCATTTTGGTGCTTTCCATCGAATTTTATTCCTTCATGTTTCATTTCACTACTTTGGTACTTGATGTGTTGATATGAGGCGTGGCAACTTGTACGGTTGTACAGTCAGTAATGCCTGGTTCTGCTTTGATATTGATTAATTGGTCGTTTTCTCTATATTGAGAGAAGAGATGAGAGGGTTTACGAGAACGACTTAACGTTAGGTCTTGGAAAATTCACTTTATAAACGAGTTTTAGGGAAGATTCCTTTGGAGCCGAGTGACTTGAGTTAACTAGATGCTCAAAAATGAAGCAGCTAGTTTCTCTTTTACCTTCTATTGGATTTTTGTACGTTTTTATTCTTTTTTTTTTTAAAATATAAATTTAAATTTTCAACACTTTGGTAGGATTTTCTTCTATTTTAGATTTGTTTATCTGATGTATAACTCATAATGATACAGTATTATTTATTTGACGACGACGTGCCGAGTATAAATCATCACTGCTCATAATCATATCAATGTCATTACACAACTTTCGACATCTGATTCTTGGAATTACCATATCCACTTTATATTCCTTGTTTTTATTGGTAGTAAAATTTTCCCAGTCTTTCGTATAGGTATTGCTTCATTCCTATTACATATACAAGGTGTTCATTCGATGAATAAAGAGTCAGTAATCAGTGTCTTATGATATTAGCTTTATCCCACTCACTCTCACTGAAAGGCGTGTCGAGCAAGTACATCTCGTTATTGAAGACTCTCTACTCGAACACTTGTGGGTGTGTTAGAGCCTGTGGTGAGATGTCCGGGGATCTGTACTCATCGAGTGATGTCTGTCAAGGATGCCCACTGTCTCCATTCTCATTCAATTTTATCAAAGATATCCCTATGGAGGTCTCCCTCTCGTCACCAGGTTACACAGACGTTGACCTTATCACAGGAGAATTTTCGTTAGACCTAGAATATGCAGATGACATAGTCCAGTTAAGTGAAGACGCTGACAAGATGCAGAGTCTTCTGAACACTTTGAGAGGGAATTTAAGAATGTTTGGGATGCGATTTTCACTACCCAAATGCAAATTTTTGCTCCAGGATTGATCTTCAGCGGTGCCATGGCCAAAAATAGTGGTTGAGTGTGTTGACCACTTCACTTACCTGGGAAGTAGGATCACTCCTGGTGGGTTGGTTAACCGCCGATGACATCGCTGCACGGATACAAAAGGCTCGGTTAGCTTTCCCCAATTTACGCCACCATGACATCCGACTGTCTATTAAAGGTCACGTGTACTGCACAGCAGTCCACTCTGTTCTACTCTATGGCTGTGAAACATGGCCACAGAAGGTGGAAGACATGAGAAGGCTCGCTTCATGTGTTTGACCACCGTCGCCTTCATAGTATAGACTGTATTCCGTGGAGTCACTACGTGGATAATGCAGAAGTTAGGTGTAGAGTTTTAGGGAGTAGAGGTAAGTCAGTTGACGAGGTTGTTGTGAAGTTTCATGGATTGAGATGGTGGGGACACGTACTACGTATGCCTAGTCACCGATTGCCTTGTCACACAATGTTGGCCGAAGTAGGCCTAAGCTGAAGAAAGGTCGGAGGTGGCCAGACTAAAACATGGCACCGATCAATGTATAAGATGTTTGACTGTTGGTTTGAGCCATGTTGGGGGGGGGGGGCGATGCAGACTAGGTGGTTGGGGTCTACGGGACAAGAGGAACCAGTGGCTGGAGATTTTAGGTGATGTGGCTCAGAACCGATGTCAGTGGCGCAGATGTATACACACATTATCCTCCTCTTAAGGCTATACCGAATCTCACCACTTTCTCATTCTTCCTTTATTTCTCCTCGTACTTTATATTTCTTTTGACTGAATTTTCTTATCTTCATCCTTCACCTCACTACCTTTCTACTTGATGTGGTGATATGTGGTGTGGCAACT